GTGCTTGTTGTGAGAATGGACCAAATGACAGAAGTGTCACCGGGAGGGGCTGTGGGAGGCTGAAGCCTAACCAGAAAGAGCTCCTTATGGTGGAGAAAGGGGTGAAGGAGGGTCTGTAGGGTTCGGCCTTGGGACCCAAATCTCAAGAAGTAAGAGGTGTGGCCAGTTAGAATATCCTATCTCAGGAAGGGAGCCACATTCATACCAGACCCACAGATGATGCCTAAGATGGATGTGAGCATATAATTTACCCTAAGAATGTGCCCTCACCTACACATGCTAGACAGAACCTATGGCATGGGGCCCATGCTCATGGAATCAAGGCTCACCCAGAAGTTGGATCTCAAGCACAGACAAGAGGAGTGAAATCTATGGTGAGAATGTGCTGTGAGGTCAGACTGTGAAAACCCAGGGTGCTGATCTTAGCAATAGAGTTATACTTTGCCAGAGACTGGACAGATTGGATCCTGGGACTGGGCCCCCTCTCTGTTGTGTGCTTGGGTTGGGTGGGGGTGGGAAAACTTTCTCTTTGTGCTCACATTGCTGAACAGCTCTCCTCTGCTCCACCCCAGCACACTTATCTGATGTGCATGACTTCTATGGAGACTTGCTTTAATTAAGTTTGACTCTACTGTCATTTGTCCCTTTAGAGGGACTGAGATGACTCAGTCTATGACATTCAATGACACGGGTGAACTCAGGGCCTCCATAAAGCTGTGTTTTTTGGGAAGAAGCACCTGCTGTTTGATGTCTCTAGTCTACCTGTGCTGGTAGCTTCATGGGCACGAATCTCGTGTCACCCTGTCCACACTGACAAAATGAGACTGAAATAGGAGCCTCAGTAAATCACCTGCCATGGAAAAGCACAGATCCTTGTGGAACGTGGGGGATCACCTAGGCTACAAGAAGTCTGTGTGCTGTTTCCTTCAGAGCAGTGTCATCGGACTGGACTGAGGGAGCAGCATCTCAACAGTCCTGGTCATACGATCCCAACTCACGTAGCAGGTGCTGGAATGAACTTGGTATAAAATAGGGGGACACCCCACCCACAGCCTCACAGTATGTTTGACAGCAGGAGCAGGCGCAGATGGATATGTTCTCTCCATTAGCTGTGGCCTTTTGGAAGTGAGCAAAGTCAGCTGTGGTTTAACTGTCCTTATTTCATCTTCCAACACCCGAGCCACCGCTTGCACAGCCCCAACCAGCAGGGGCCGGTTTGACTTCAAGCATTTTCCACAAATCAACCACATTTGACAGAGCACGTTGACAAAACGAGCCTGAGAAAGTAAAACACCATCACCACACCAGCGCCCTCCTGCCCCCCCCACTGTCTCCTGCACCACCACCCTCCCCCTCTCTGCACCTCCCAGTCCAGGGCAGCCCAGGTCCAGTTGGGGAAGGAAGGTGCTAAGGAGTTGGAAGCCACGGGAGACACTGCCTAGGAGCCCCAGCAGTGACATCAGTCCCACACAGCTTTCCATCATTTGTTAGTGTCCCCCCTCTGTGCCTCTGTGCTTTCCATGTGCAGTAACAGGTCCAGATCTCTCAGTAGAGGCTCAGACATTTGTCCTAAGAGGTCTGATCACATTCTTGAGAATCAAGGAGTAGATCAAAATTGTTTCCTCTTTCTTGTATCTGGTGGGTCTTAGGTTGTTTCCACATGGGAACCTCTACTTGGTTTCCAAAAGCACCTGTTTAACAGAAACTTAGGCTGATTGTAAATAAAAAAAAGATCCTTCTGCATTTATTTTTTTCCTTTTTTAAAATTTTATTATGTTATGTTAGTCACCATACATTACATCATTACTTTTTGATGTAGTGTTCCATGATTCATTGTTTGCATATAACACCCAGTGTTCCATTCAATACGTGCCCTCTTTAATACCCATCACCAGGCTAACCCATCTCCCCACCCCCTCCTCTCTAGAACCCTCTGTTTGTTTCTCAGACTCCATAGTCTCTCATTGTTCGTCTCCCCCTCCAATCTCCCCCCTTCATTTTTCCCTTCCTGTTATCTTCTTCTTTTTTTTTTTTTTTAACATATAATGTATTATTTGTTTCAGAGGTACAGGTCTGTGATTCAACAGTCTTACACAATTCACAGCATTCACCATAGCACATACCCTCTCCAATGTCTATCACCCAGCCACCCCATCCCTCTCACCCTCCACCACTCCAGCAACCCTCAGTTTGTTTCCAGAGATTAAGAATTCCTCTTATCACTGAGGTCATATGATACATGTCTTTCTCTGATTGACTTATTTCGCTCAGCATAATACCTTCCAGTTCCATCCACGTCGTTGCAAATGGCAAGATCTCATTCCTTTGATGGCTGCATAATATTCCATTGTATATATATACCACTTCTTCTTTATCCATTCATCTGTCAATGGACATCTTGGCTCATTCCATAGTTTGGCTATTGTGGACATTGCTGCTATAAACATTGGGCTGCATGTATCCCTTCGGATCCCTACATTTGTATCTTTGGGGTAAATACCCAGTGGTGCAATTGCTGGGTCATAGGGTAGCTCTATTTTCAACTTTTTGAGGACCCTCCATACTGTTTTCCAGAGTGGCTGCACCAGCTTGCATTCCCACCAACAGTGTAGGAGGGTTCCCCTTTCTCCGCATCCCCGCCAACATCTGTCGTTTCCTGACTTGTTAATTTTAGCCATTCTGACTGGTCTGAGGTGCTATCTCATTGAGGTTTTGATTTGGATTTCCCTGATGCCGAGCAATGTTGAGCACTTTTTCATGTGTCTGTTGGCCATTTGGATGTCTTCTTTGGAAAAACGTCTGTTCATGTCTTCTGCCCATTTCTTGATTGGATTCTTTGTTCTTTGGGTGTTGAGTTTGATAAGTTCTTTATAGATTTTGAATACTAGCCCTTTATCTGATATGTCATTTGCAAATATCTTCTCCCATTCCATTGGTTGTCTTTTGGTTTTGTTGACTGTTTCTTTTGTTGTGCAAAAGCTTTTTATCTTGATGAAGTCCCAATAGCTCATTTTTGCCCTGTTCCCTTGCCTTTGGTGATGTTTCTAGGAAGAAGTTGCTGCAGCTGAGATCCTTCTGCATTTTAAATGAGACATTGTTTTATGCTAAAATATAAAAACTTCTACTGTAGACAGATTAATTTAAAAAGGAGAAAAATAATCATTTATTTCTTTACCGACCAACCATGCATTGAACATTTTGTTTTATACTCACGTTGGTAAAAATATACACACATATATAAGTGAGTGTCATACTTGTTAGTATTACTAGTAGAAATCATGGCCAAAGGACTGGACAAATATTGTGCACAAAAAAAGAGAAATAGAAATGGACTCAGTATATGAAAAGATGATTATCCTCATCAAAGTAAATTTAGAGCATGATGAGATACTATTTTTAACCTGTCAGATTAGGAAAATCAGTGATGTTTGACAGCACTTTCCTGACACTCACCTACATCATGGAAGAAGTGTACAATGGTACTATCTCTAGCGGGGTAAGTTGGCAATACCTATTAAAATGACCAGTAACCACATCTGAACTGATATAAAACAATATTATATTTCAGCATATTTTATAATAGTAAGAGCTTGGAAATAATCCACTGGTCTACCACAGGAAGCTGATCTTATAATGTATCTTATAAATATACAATCACCAATGAAATACTCTGCAGCTATCTAAGTGTTCTTTTATAATGACATAAAAACAGCACAAGGTTATATAAGTGAGAAGTGCAGAATAATGTATGTCATTACTACCTGTGTGTTAGAAGGAAGGAAATTAGATCTATATGTATTTACTTATTTTTTTTATAACTAAATTCATATTTGCCTAAATAAAAACTGGAAGGATGGGCAAGAAACAAAAGTGTGACCTGTAAGTTTTGGGCAGGTAGAGACAGTTGTTGGAGCAAGATTTTGTGTTTCAATTTTTAGAGTGTTTTGATTTTGGAACCATGTGAATGTATAATCTAACAATTTTAGTAGGGTCCTGCCATGGATATTTCTTCAACAACACCTTCTTTTTTTTAAAAAAAGTTTTTATTTATTTATGTAATCTCTACACTCACTGTGGGGCACCACCTTACAAATTACACTTCGTTCCTTCCACTGAGCCAGGCAGCTGCCACCTCAATATCACTTTCTGATTAATTTCCATTTCTTCAACAATCTACATTTTTGTGTAAATGCATACTAGTCCATCATACAACATCATTTATTTTATTTTTTTAATTTCTTCTTAGGTGTTGGGCTTAATTTGGGACTGTGGTGAATGGTGCTATGGCGTTGCATGTAAATCTTACTGCATACCTTGAGGGTGTGTGCGAGTGTGTGTGAGCAAGTGTGTTATCTATTATTTCTAGGTAGAGCTGCCAACAGCAAATGCTAATGCTGTTGAGGACTCGCATGTACCCAACAAAATTAAATCATCACATCTACACAACTCTAGGAGACAGAGCACACTGTATCTTCATTTTACAGATGATAAAATTATGGCACAGAGAGTTCATATAGCTATAGATTCAAGCCCTTGGGACTCAGAGTTCAAACACTTAACCCCTCCATCACCCCACCTTTCTGGTGTTAGTGGGGCTCTCATGGGGTTCTTGTGAGGTCAGGAACATGGTGTCTGTGAAACACTGGGATAGGTCTAAACACACCTGCAAGTCATGCAACACGTTATACTGTCGTCACCAGAGCATCTTAAACCAAATGAATCTGAATCTGAAATCTTTGAAAGAGAAATAACTTGGACACCTTCATTGGCTGTGGCTGCCCTGAGGCTGGTGCCCCAAAGAAGGCATCATAAGGACTATCTCAGGGAAAGAATTAGAAGTGTGGAATTGACCAATATTACAACCAGTGTTGAATTTGAGGGCTCAGTTGTCATGCTGTCCCTTACCTTGGACTCTCAGTTAGATTGTACCAAATGAAAGAACACAGAGGCAAAAGTAGACTTTTGATTGTTTTTATTGTGCTTATTATGATAAAGCAGTACAATACTCAGGTAGCAAAGATGGGAGTCCGGATGTGTAAAATAAATGGCTTTGAAGCAATTATCTGGTTAAAGAGCCCCAAGAGATGCAACTGGAAGTTGTGTGTTGGCTGTGCTCAGAGACATGAGTACCAGGTGGCTGAGGAGCTGGTGGACATTAAGGAGGGAGTGGTGCTGAAGCCCCTGTGGATGGTCCCCTGGCCCCACCCCTGAGTCATGGCAGAATTTGTTCTTGTTGTGGAGTGAAAGTTTCTTTTTACCCAGTGGTTTGTTAACCAGTTCTGCAATAATGACACAAGAGAAAAAAACACATTTGAACTGAAATATACCAAACTCAGAGAGAAAGTCCCACTAGATGCACAGCAGACAATTTTAGGGACAATAGACAATAGAGACAAGTGGACCCTTGGTGCCACCATGTGTTAGGAACTCTTCCCGTTGCCACAGAATGCTGGTCTCCCAAGCAGACAGATGGCGATGATGCTGGAGTAGATCAGGCTCTTGAGGAGAAGTAGGAGGTAGGTGTAGTAGGCAGAGGTGCTCATGAGCTGCAGCTGCAGGGTGTCTAAAAGAAGTCATTTATTAGTTTCACCTTCTGTTCTTTTGAAGGGCTAGGACTTATTAATGGGAAAGGGGTGATTTTACACATTTCTGATGATCTAGGTTGAAGTGATGCCCCCACACCAGCACAACCTGACAATAAACGTCTATACCACCAACCAGACAATAAACGTCTATAAACACTACCACCACCACCATCACCAAATAACTCAGAATCCAGCTTGCAGGTCAAGTCCATCAACAACCTCTGGGAAATTCACTTAGAACATTCTAAAGTATTAAAAAGTAAAGCTGATGAATCAACCTGAAAAGACATTGGTTAAAAATTAGCTTTTACCATTTCTTCACCCCCACCACATCTGTAAGTAATAATATATCTAATATGCTTTAATCACTAACTAAATGGCAGACATTTAATTTGAGAGATTTGTGTGCAAAGCTTTAATCTTAATTTTTCAATAACCTAGGAGATTATTATTTTCTTTGCCATTTTACAAATAAATTGAGGACAGAGAATTGATTTGCCTGATGTCATACAGTTAGTAAATACCACCAGCAAGATTTTAATCCCAGCAACATAATGTTCAAGAACACATTCTTACCTACTCTGTATTTCTGTACCTCACGTGTAATAAATACTCCTGACAACAAAGAGTTAAGCATAAATATAAAGATGAATTGCTGATTTAGAAGCATCTTAGCCATTATATCTTGTGCATTTTTGAGATTCCTATCAAGGGTACAATCAATGGAAATTTGCTTGTGTTCAAGGTAGGGTGGGTGGGAGGTTTTAGTAAAGAGGGCATTAGTGGTGATGAGTGGAAGTTTAAATCACCATATTGTATACCTGAAACTAATGTCACACTGTATGTTAACTAACTGGAATTTAAATAAAAACTTAAAAAAATAATAAAATAAAAAAGTGAAAGAAAGGGGCAAATCCAAATTCTCTGCAATTTTAGGAGGTCAAACTCGCTCCCTTGTCTTTCTTGAATACTTTTATTGTAGTTATGATGTTATAGGATAATTGCATTTATTATCCTTTGAGGTTTTGCAGGAAATACATGATATCAAGAAATAATTAATGCCAATGATAGCGGGCCAGATCGGCTACTCAATGAACCATCAGGTTGAGTCTGTTCTTATGGAAATTTCTTTTACGTGTTTATCTCCAAAGAGTCAGAATTCCGGAATCATTAGCCCTTGGTGTGGAAAAGGACATCAAGTGATGCTGTGCTCGTAATTCCTTGACAAAGGGTCCTTGGTCAAGTAACATGTTAGCTAAAGTCTAGAGGCCCCTTGATATTGGACATGGAGGGCAGATCAGCAGGGCTAGAGCCAATGATCTTTGTACTTTCTTGTTACATATGTTGGAATAAAGGTCCTGAAGCTAGTACTTATGTGTCAGCTAAGTGAAATATCCTATGTTAGACATATGTGACCTTATGTCTTCAATTACTGAATGAAGCATTATTTGTGTTATTTCTGCCTTGGCTCAGAAAATGTAACTACTGTACCCATATTCATGTAGCTAATAATGAAAAGACTGGGGTTAATGTCCAGTCTGTGGCATTTGAAATCCTGCACTTACACCCGCTCCCCAAGTGTGCACCTGTCTCAGGGTCTTAGCTTTGGGATATCTTGCTTTATGACAAAAACATAGAAGAATAGAAAACTGAGTAAAGTGTATGAATTGTTAATTCAGATGGTCTGGGTTGAAGCCCCTGATCTCACTGTGTGGTGGTGCAGGGACTTAATTAATTTTAGCTCATTGCCTCATGTGTGAAATGGGAATAAACTCCTTCACAGTGAGTATTAAGGGAATTAAACAGAATGCACTCACTGTGCAGCACAACGCCTTCTGTACAAGAAGCTCTCAGTGTCGGTTCATGTTATTAACCACCAGCAAGAACAAGGAGAAGCAACTTGATATCATGTTTTCCTCAGTCAGTAGAAACAAAAGCTACAGAAAAAATGAAGTCCATTGTTGAAAGAATTCAGAGCACATCACTGCAACCCTAATTTATAGTCCTCTCACACCCAAACCTGCATTTACTGTGTGAAGAACACTCCTGAGAAATGATGGATTGACTTAAATATCAGTCTATTTTGCAAGATCCAGCCATTCTGAGGTTTCTCCCTGAAGCCCGGGAAGTTCAAAGGTTAAATTGATCTGCAGGAAAAAGTGCTATAGCATAACATAAAGGCAAACATAGACAAAATCTTACCATCTTTATATCTCACAGAAGGTTTTGTGGAGTTTACAGCAGCAAGCTCTAGAAGAAATGAGGACAAGTATTCAATTATTCATATCCATTATTTGACAGGTGTCTGTGTTGTGGAGAGATGGATGGATAGATAGACAGATAGATAGAATTTGTCAACCAAGAGGAGAGAGTCATTACTAATATGAGCCCACAATTCCAGAACTGAGTATTCTGAGTGTGTAATTCAGTAGATCAATTCATATATTGTATTTCTGCACATGAAGATGTTGAAGTTCATGAATGATACATTTTTTTCTTCTTTTCTCACCACTGGAGGGTAATGTCTAAGACTATCTTGTTTTCCTTCTGTGCTCATAGCTCCCAGCATAGTGCCTGCCGCACAGTAGGTGTTCTATAAATACTTGTTGAATGGAAAAATAACTAGCAACATTGGCTGCTGTACAGTCCTCAGCACCCACTGCTGACATGAAGGGTTGCTACCAAAATGAATTCATCCAACCCTAGAGTGCACAGCAGAATCTTAAATTTTGGAAGGAGTCTGGAATAGGTAAATTCCCCATCTAAGCAATAGAAAGAGGTCCTACCTTTCCAAAGCACACATGTTCCCAATATCCCCAACTCTTGCACACGATTTTCTGGAGTGGTGGTGTTTGTGGACATGAGAACAATACTAATAAAAGCCAATACCTATTGAGTGATTATTACTGTGCCAGGCACTATGTGAAATGTTCACATGTATTAGGTCATCTGATCCCCCAGTGACACTGAAGTGTGCTGTATTCATGTTAGACATGAAGAAATAAGGTTTAGAGAATCTAAGTAACTTGTTGGGAGTCATACCAGTGATTGGCAGAGCCAACACTCAAAGGACCATTGTGAGGGTTTAGATGAGCTAGACCATGTGGAAAATACCTTGTAAAACAATCCATAGAAATGGATAATAAGTCCACCATTGTGGACTCTCAGATATCAACTCTTCCAGTATCTTAATTATTCTTAACAAATGACCTTTCTGTTACAGAAGTTTCACAGTTCAGTCCACTTCTTTCAAGGGATAAAAAGATGGGCCAAATAATAATCATAGTTTTCTGAATATATAAAACTGAGGTGAGGGTTGTACTTCTTTACAATGTAAAAAACAACAACAAAAACAAAACCAACATGCATACAAAGACAAAAATCCTTAAAAAGATCATTGACTGTTGGATGGAGGAAGAGAGTCCCAACATGTTTTGGTTTATCCTTTCTCTGCTTGATGTGTCCTTGTCCATACATATATGGTTCTGTTATGCAAATTGTTCACTCCACACAATCTTATTTTGGTACACTCTTAGCAAATAAATCTGAGCTGTAGGCTTTGGAGTAAATCCCAAGAATAAAAAGTATATATAATCATGTTTGGTGTTAAAATATTCTCAAGAACTGACTTAAAGTGTCTTAAAATTCCCTTTCTTTTCTATAGTGGTTTTATTCATTAAAAGAGAAATAAAAATCTCTAATCACCGTGCACTGATTGATTGAAAAACATTAAGGTAACAATCTCTCAAATTAAAATCTGTGGGTGTACCCTAGGTTCTTTTTCTCAATCAGGTTGGTTGAAGACTTGGACCAGAATAGTTTTATCTCTTCAAAATCACTTCATGGATTTGGGCTTCCATGTTCTATATATTTTTAGCTTTCATCAAAAACAAAAAGAACAAACAAAAAACTTACAAGAAACAGCATTAGAAATTTGTTGTGGAAAGGCATTAACAGAAATGCCCTCAATAGTTTTGTTGCTATGAGAAGATCTTGGGAGACATTCCTTTCAGAAATTAATTCCCAGGTAAAATACATCATGAATAAAAACATCTCTCTTTTCTATTATCATCACCACAGAATGTAATATAATATATTTTTACTTTGATCATTATAAAAATCAATACCTAAAGAACTTCAGCCCAGTGGTTACATTAAATTTGTGTTTTTCTCATTTGCCTCCTCTCTGTTTCTTAGTGGTAGAAATAAGAAATTAGGGCTGTCTGTAATCTTATACCAGTTATTAGGAAAATATACATAAATACAATAAACAGATGAATAAATGTGTCCATCTCATGTTTTCAGAAACAAGCATTTTCACTGGCATTACAATTTCTCTTCACCAAATGCCAGGAGAAAGGAAAGGTAAGTAAGTTTTGACTCTAAATTTGATCACTGGAAACACTAAGGATCCAAGAGGATAAAGATTTACTTCAGCAATTCAGAGTGGTACACTGCAAGGGTCTTTGCATGTTTTGTTATATGTTTGTTTCCCGCTGCTTCCCAAGGGCTTGTGAACTGCACGGAAAGTACAGACTGGTTCCTTCTCATGGTCCCTCTGGGGTCTTGGTCTGTGATGTTAAAGCCAGGACTTGACTGAATCTAGTGAGTTACTGGACCACAGCCGGGCCAGGGCACCTTCAGCTGTCTGCCACACTGTCTAAATATGTCTAGCATAAGCCCCGATGAGGTTAATTTGGGACACAATGCCTGAATCATGCCTGAATCACAAGTGACTCTGAGTGATTAGGAAAAGTATATTCTCTCTACTGTAGTGATCCTCCTTGGGGCAGTAGTTCATTCTGCATCTCTACCAGGCCTGGCACACACTAGGACTGCAATAATGTTTGCTGAGCAGATTTACCAATGGTAAGGAATATATCCATTATGTAGAATGGAAGAATGATTGTACACATTAGCTTCACCCAATCTTTATTTACCAAACTTCACCTTAGAGTGGTATATAAAATTCAAATCTGAGAAATCTAAGACCATACTAAAACCATAGTGACCAAATTATTGTAGCCTCTATCTCATTGTTTATGGGTTATACTTTGTGTAGAGCAAGACTGAAGCGAGAAGGACTTTGACCACTGAATAGAACATTCCTGAAAGATGTATAATTGTTCTTATTTCCTGACAAAGTAAGATCATCAAAGGTGGTTCTTGAGCATTTATGATGTGCGAGGTTGCTAGGTGCTTTCATGTGTATTGTTTCATTTAATTTGTACAATGATCCCCAAAAAACATCACTGTGACCTTCATATTTTGGATGATGAAACTGAGGCAAGAAAGACTAAGTGAATTTGTCTTTTTCTTTTTCTCTGTATGTTCCAAAGTCCATTTTACTTCAATTCTATGGGAAAATAGCAGGACATTTATGCTACCGTTAAAGGTAAAAACATCAATGAAAGGTTTCTATTTGTTTCTTTTCATTAGTATTTGACAGAAAAGGTGGAATATTTCCTTTGGGAAGAAAAAGGTACTGGAAAGTTGCATTCATAAATACATGTACATACTGTTTTTCTGTGAGGGAAATAGAATCTCTTGATCAACTCTTCCTTTATTCCACTCGTGTTTCACGATACATTTGTGTTCTTTATCCATTGACGCTCCACTCACGGTCAGCCAGCTGAATTTCATGTATGTGTCATTAGTCTTCATGGTGTCTCCCTGCTGCGATTTGAGAATTGTTTCGTCATCCTTTTCTTTCCAATCTATCTTAATAACATCAGGGAAAAAGTCCTCAAGAAGACAAAGATATGTTCCAGCCTTATGGAGTCTTCTTTCAGCAATTGAAGGAAGGAAAATTGTGGGCTTGGGAGAAATGTCTGCATCAAGGCTTCTATCTGTGGGGAAGTGGAACAGCAATTAGAACATTATTAGAGAAACACAAATTTTGTGTGGTTGGAACCACCCAGCACAGTGAAATGAGGAAATTTGCCATAGAATTAGTGCTTATCTCAGACCTTTCATCCACAGTGGGTTATGAGGGACTGATTGTCCTTATTTTCAGTGGGAAAACAGGTACAAGAAGTCATGTAACTTGCTCAAAGTCACAACACTTAAGTGGCGGAGTCTGGATTAAAATGTGGAATTTTTTGAAACAATACATAATCACTTGTTTGAATGAGAATTCACTTCCAGGTGTCCTTGACAATCTATCAAGTAGAACTTTAAATCTTCAAATTGGATCCCAAATTCACTTCTGAAGTAATGGAGGTCTCCTACTTGATTCCTGATTTTATAAAACATCTCAATCTCACATCTGAACAACTCCAGGATTTTGAGTAGGACAATGTTTAAAACTGCACCTCCCAAATATTTACAATGCCTTGAATTTAGAAGCAATGGGGCAGTATTTCCAAAACTGCTATTAGAAAACATTTTTTTCAGAAACGCTTTTGTATTAACTTTATCAAGTAACACACATCAGAATTTTGTTTTGCTTTGGAAAATGTTCACTGAAAGCTCATTTTGTATTGGAATTTCATTTGAGGTTTATATATGACTAAGATGACACCACATTTTGACTCTCAAAGTCTCCCTTTAAAGTTGAATCTGCTCTAGAAAGCTGCTAAATGGTTTTTAGAACCCCACAATATCTGTGATTTCACCTGTGGAAAAAAGTATATATATAATTGGTGTAATGTTAGAATTATGGTTCCAGAGTTTCTCGCAGACATAATGTCAAAATATATAACAAAACATCATTGATTTTAAAGGGCATGTCACTTGAACACTGGTATGTTACTTGATTATACATTTACTGTTAGTAATTAAAATTATAAAAGTTAGAATCCTTTTAAAATTTATTTCTACCTGAAATGCAAGTGCTTTACTGATATTCTCTTAGGCCTACTTTGGAGTTAGTTTAGTAATTCAATGGGAAATTTCTTTAGAATTCAATGAGAAATTGGATTTCTCATTTGAGAAGAAAAGGAAGAAAAATCTTTTCTGGATGGCTCATAGTACTCTTTTTTTTTTTTTTTTAGAAAAAATTCTTGAGACTTTCTCCCTGTGTAGCAAAGCTCTTATTTTCACACTAAATCAGTAACAAACAATGAGCTTTTATTCATGATATAAATAAAATTAGGTCATAATGTACTTATTTTAAGTTTATATATCTTGATCGTGGTGTAAATAGTATTTTATTGATTATAATAAAAGACACTGTATATTTCTCCAATGATATACTTTGTTTTTAATTTTAAAAACATGTTAGATAAAGATTAATTTTTCAATTGTATATTAATTTTTCAATTATGTGATATTTACATAATTTTAGCCTCTAGTCAATATATTAAGGAATCTAATTTTCATCTTAGAAACTTTGTGTGTGTGTTTTATAGGAATACTTCTGATTCATTATAGTAAAGAAATTGAAAATCAATTGATGAACTTGAAAAATTTCTGGATGGTAACACACTGGTTTTACCTCCTGTCCCTTTTCTTTAGCTAGACTCTTGATGTTTTATTCTTTTCAGCATAAAATGAATCTTGAACTTCCACAATTTTCTCAGTGGAATATTAGCTGTGCATTAAAATAGTGTACTTGATTAAATATGGTTAGTGCCTATATTTTGGGTAATAATATTACATAGTTTTTCCTTCAACATTCTTTTTAAAACTAACTAACAGTGATTTTTATGGCCAAAATCATTTTTATGATGCATAAATTAGAAACCAGATTCCAAGAAAAATAAACCTGTCTAATACGCTTACATACATTCGTTTGCATAATCACAAAATACATTGGAGTTAAATTGTCAGAGTTATTTATATTTTATTAAGATGCAGCAGTGTGAATTCTATATAAATTTACCAAATGTCAACTACATTTTCAAGTGCAAGTGTGATATCTCAAACCTGCATATTGATGTTGATTTAATTGTTCTCTATTTTTCTGTTATTTTTCTTTTACTAAATAAATAGAGCTATTTCATATTTGAATGTGAATTTCAAATTTATGGCATTTCTAACTTTATTTAAAATACTAACTGTATTTAAAAAGTTTAAACTTCTTTCTAATAAATGCGAGCATGAAGACCAAACTTGTTGGTGTCTGACCATGTCTGCCGGAGGTCACCATCTGTGAATGACATTAAGTGTCATGGTGCCCACAGTAATGATGCAGTGGGAGCATGAAATGTGCTTGTTTAAAGACCATTTCTTCCATTTTATAAAGTGGAAGTGGAAGGCAATGCCCACTCTTTCACTTCACATTCCTCCTAAAGGACTCATGCACTGAAGTCCTTTTCTCATTTTATGATGGGAAAAGCATAACAAATTTGAAAATTTAGTGTACTTCATCACATTTTCCCCCTACCTTTGCTTTGAACATAAAATTTGACCCTGTGTTTCTTGATAGATAATCACAGGCCTTTTTCTTCTGCTTTCCTTAGTGCTTTTGATGTTCTATTTTTATTTCATGGCCTAACTCTACTTTTGTGTTTTATTTTAAGCCTTCTCAAATAGATTTTGGAAATAGGTAATATAACTAAGTGAGAAATAGTTTGTGCATTAGAGCTTGTTTCTTTTTCTGCCCCAGAACTTGATAGTTTGGTAAGGTCTAACTCAAAGATGACATGAAAAACGGGAGATGTTTGCAAATCCTGCTCTGAGATACAGACACAAAACATGTAGAATTCAAACACATTGAAATGCCAGAGCATAAGGTGAAGCTTTCGTTCCCAACATTATCCCTCACAAAACAGGGGTTGCCTTATGTTTCAGTCTCTCATATTATAAGAGGCTCTTCTAATGCTCTACTTTGATCAAACAATACTACTTGGATATCAACCTGAAATGAACTCAAATTAGTTTTAGAGGTAGAGCTGGTAAAAGACAGTAAAGAAGTTTAATATGGATTTGGTAAATATTACCTGGAACAAAAGTCTCTACATGTTATGTTTACATTGCAAAATATAGGATACCAGAGTAAATTAAAAAATGCTTTTATTTTATAAGTGGGTAATTTTCTCTTCAGATAAACTATCCAGTGACATCAACATAAGGGGATCCCAAAACAGACACTCAGACCCTGAGATGACTCAGAAATTTGCTCTAAAGTGGAAGTTTTAGATGCGTGTGAAGTGTCTGAACAAAATTTTTTAACAAAACTGAGGGCAAAAGAAGCAGTATTTCTCAACTGATATTTGTATTGATATAATTTTTAACTTTGTAGGTATAATTCAATTAAGATATTAAATATACAAGTGAATATTTGGCTTTTATCCATATCACTGTAAGTTTATATATTCAAATTGCAAAACCTCCTCCCTTTTTATGTCTGGATATTTCCACTGATAAATGAGAGACCACCTTATATTCAGGCTAACAATACTTGAGACAATGCTTATTACATTCTCATCATTTTTTTTAAGTTTTTTTTTAAAGATTGATTTATTTATTTTAGAGACAGAGAGAGTATTAGCAGGGGCAGGCGTAGAGGGAGAGAGAGAGGGAGATAAGTAGACTCCCTGATGAGCCAGGGACCCCTAGATTCTCTTAATTTATAAAAGCAGGTAACAAAATAAAAAAAAATTTTAAAAAGCAGGTAACAATGAGTCTTAGAAATTGAAGTATCCCACAAATTAGACCATTGGTTCTGAACTGATCTGTAGACTAGATGGTAATCATTAATATATTTTTCTGCACTCCTGTTTCATAAAGATTTCCAGTGGGTGGTCTTTGAATTCTAGAGAATAAAAATTCTTTATCACTGACCATGTCCCAATTTTTATGTTAGCTATTTCCATATTTAATTTCATATACCTTAGCACCTTCCACTTGAGATTGTTGTTACATCAATAATAAGAATGGATGAAAATCCAAAATGTTAAAACAGTAACAAGTGTCACTATAAAATTTTAATTTTTTTCTTTATTTTTTCTCTTTTCCAATTTTTTCCATAATGAACATGTATTATTTTTAAAATTTTAAGAAAGCAATAACCAGATTATACAGAAAGTGATAGATCCAGATTCATAGTCCATATTCCTCTTTACACCACACTCTTCTCAAAAACATCTTTTCAGGAACTCATGAATTATTATGTCTGTGTCACCATTATTAAACTTGATTGCTAGAATTTACATTGATTATGTAGTCAGTTGGAAAAAAGAGCACCAGAAACTTGCTTTTCAATTTATGAATTCATTTGTACCTATGATCACAACCATTAAGGAAAACTAAATATATTTCTTTCATTTTTTCAATGTTTTATCACCTTTTTGAAAATTCTTTGAAAACTTTTATTTGACTCGACCTAGTACTCTAGAAACATCCTTCTGAGATATTCTCCCTCATTCAGGCAAAAGTTCATCTTTAAGGCTAATGAAGAATGAACAAATTTACCAGACTGATTTGGGGGGGGGGGAACCTAGCTCATGACATCTTTAAGTATGTTGCATAGTTAAATATTTTGATAGTTGATATTAATCATCCTCTGACCAAATGAAAGTTTAGCAATTTTTGTTCATTCTTTTCCATTGGTTATTTTTGGAATCACATAAATAAGATGTACAGTCTTCTTTACAAAACTTTCAACACAGAAATCCCAAATGGACCTAACATTTCCTCCTCTTAGGGACCTGCAGTTGCTGCAGCTAGTTAGCTACTTGTTAATGTCCTCCACGCTAGCTCAGGCAGCAACTACCTCCAAGGACTGGGATGGAGTCACCAACCTCTCCAAGGATCATGCTGCTACTTGTGACCAAACTGGGACCAAATCCTAGAATTCTGAGCCAGCACCAGCACCTAGCCTTCAGCCCCTGCATCACCTGCCTTCCTTCCCTACCTTATATGGAAGAATGTAAAGAAAATTTACCTGTAATCCTGAGCTGTGTGCCAGGACCAAACACTTTGTTGCTGCTCCAGCCATACCAATCCCACTATCTGAAAAGCTTTTACAAAAAAAACCCTTTGTGCCTCTTTTAAAATAGTGCCCATATTTTTTCACTATTTATATAAATATATAAAAATGGACCCTGCTAATTTTTTTTTTTTTGAGAGAGAGAAAGAGGGTGCGAGCAGGGGGTTAGGACACAGGGAGAGGGAGAGAGAGGGGAGAGGTATGACCAGCAGGCAGGGAAATAAATTATCTCACAACTCTGTGATCATGACCTGAGCCTACATCAAGAGCTGGATCCTTAACCAACTGAACCATGCAGGAGCCCCAAACCCTGCTAACATTAAACAAAGATGAACCTGAAGCAAAATCACATTAGATATGAATTGATGAACTGACCCCTCTCTGCCTGGTCAGCTTGGTTATGTCTTTCCCATCTCACTCACAGGGGTTGGAGAATATGATTTTACCTTTTCTCACCATTTTCCTGAAAGTTCTAATCTCTTCCCTTAAAGGGTTTTCTTCTATGATAGCACTTTTACTAGAGTGTAATTTACAGTTATTATTTCTTTAATTTTCAAAGAAGAAAAAAATAGAAATAATATATATGAGTATTTAATAAATGAGTGTTCAGTATTTTTACAGGATTATTTTATTTCCATATATTGAGGGGTGGGGTATCTGGTTTAATTGTAAAGTAAGTTCTTTCCAGAATCTAATTCCCACTGATACTAGACCCAATGAGTTGTTACAGAGTTTGAAATCATAATGATCATCTCTTAACCTAGTTACTCCTGAAGGACTGCTCCTTTGAGCTTGAAATTACCCTAACAGTTTCCAGGGAATTGATTTAAAATTCTGAGTTGCTCTATCAGAGGATCCTGTTTGTTTTGGTCTTTCTGCAGCTGTCCCAGCAGGAGTGCAAAGGCAGCTCTGAGTTATGCAATTGAGTCCTGGATGTAGTATAACTCTCCCTCCCCTTCTGCTCCTCTTCCCATGTGCACTTTCTCTCCATCTCTCTCTCTCAAATAAATAAGTAAATAAATAAAATCTTTTAAAAATATGGCCTAATGTTTCTAATATCACATAATGGTCTAGACCACATTTTTGGAATGGACAAGTCTCTATTGGATCCCATTCTTTGCCATAGTAACTAGCTGTCCATATGCTGAGGTGATCCTATATTGTTTTTTCTAAAAAGCATCTATCAATTTTTCATTCACAGGATCAAAACAAAACAAAGTTACTTACCTGGGGGAGTTACTATGAGCTTAGTTCCTTGTGCAAATATCTTGATCCAGCCTACGTTACCACACTGGTTAGAGGTTCTACAAAAACATCAGCCTTCTCCTGAGCTTCACGGCAGGACCAGCAGGTAGAAACCTTGTACTGGCAATTTGATCTTCTGGGTTCCCTTGGAAGTCCTTGAATACAGGCTCATAGCATCTGATATTTTATGTTTTCCTGAGATTAGTTGACCCAGATGTCTGTTTTCAAAGGAGGCAGTAATCACTGAGAAGTGCTGATAGAAAACAGAAACAATAAAAGCAAAAGAAAAAAAGAGAGATTGGGAGTAACGGGTCAACCACCTATTTATCTACATTGTCAGGAAAAGTATTCAGTGAATTAAGAGGTTTTGATTTTCAGGTGTTCAACTGTGTGAAACTGCTCAGAGATGCATCAAAGGAAAAGCCCTTCTGTTCTCACAAACACCAGACCAGCTCTGTTAGCAATTTGGGATTGTATTTCTAAAGGAGGAAACTTTAGTAACCCAAATGCAACGTACCAACAGAGATATACTTGAGAAATGTGAACAATGGTCTCCATTTTGTAATCATCTACTTTTACGACTTGGCAACATGATTCTTTACCACACCATGCAAAATGAGAAAATAATTTGTGTAACAACATTATTTTTCCTGGAATAAAAAAGAAATTTGTAGAGAAGTCTATCTCCCATGAGATAATAGATTTCAATTTAAACCAAAATTTGAAAACATAATCCATTTCTCTGAAGTGTTGAAAGAAGAAGCCTCTTGGAAGCTATTCTGTGATCTTCAGAAATGCATGTGTAGCCCTACTTCTGTGGTTAACTAGCTTTGGACAAGACATTTGCCATCCCTGGGTTCCCACGTCCCATTTGCTGTGTGGGCATTGGGCTATGAATGTCCAAAGGGCCCTTCCTGTGCCAACAGCTTATGAACCTGTGATTAAGAGCAGGAAAGGGTCTTCTGTGGTTGCTTAAGTGAGAAAAGCGTTGAGGGTTAGTAATAGAGAAGGATTTCTTACAGGTCCCTTCTGATTCTGTGATACTGTGAGATCCCTGTAAGCATAATATCAGGTGGCTTCATGGGACGTGAGGACTTTATTGACTATCAGGTAAAAGACTCTGTTGTTTTTCTTATCTGGATCTAAGCCGGAATCGGGCTAGTCTTACAGGTAATATTGGTTGAGCCATATGGGATTCATTTCAGGGGCTCTTCTTCTTTTAGTTGGTACCATGCATGATAGCCTTCTCCAAGGAAACCCCAGACAGCTTGCAATGTATGTGCAATGTTCTGTCTGGTGTTGGCGTAAAGGAAAGTTGATTCTAAAAGATTCTTATTTTGTTTTTGCTTTTTTTTTTAAATTTTATTATGTTTTGTTAGTCACCATACAATACATCATTGGTTTTTGATGTGGTGATCCACGATCCATTGTTTTCATGTAAGAGTCTTATTTTGATGTCTCCATTTGAAATGCAAGGGGGTGAGATCAAAGGTACCTGAACAAGTTGACAGTGGACATAAAAACAGTGAAGATAAAAGAAAAGAGTATATTCAACCTACAAACCCAAGCCAAAGACCCATATATCCATGGGGTTGGCAATGCAAGTAACTAGTCAGAATTTTCTCCAAGAGGGGGGCGTGCATCAGACTGGGGAGGCAATGGCAGCCTATATACTTCAGAGGCAAGGATGGGGGAGGAAGGTTTGCTTTAAAACCAGTGAAAGACCTTCTCAGTAAGATCTGTCTCAGTGTTATTGATTATGTTCCTGGTATAAAGAACTATCTGATCCCAGAAGATCTCACCTAAACCCCATGTTATAATAATTCATTGTTATATTCCCCTTGGGAGCAACATCCTCACATTTTTCCTTTAGGTTTTGCTTCAAACACACCTATCCTTGAGCTCTTTTTCACTCTCAGAGATTTTCCACCGTATTTTGGGAGAGTGTGTGGAGCTATATGGCTCTTGTGAGAAATGGAAGAAAAGTCTTATTACTTTATGTAATAACAAATGAGACGATAATCCCACAACTTTATTCAGAAGTATGTACATTCTATAGATCAGTAGTTTGTAGAAAGTTCCCAAGGCTTGGTGAATATTAACAATTGCTGTAGCTGTTGCTTTAGATGCTAGGATGTTTCTATATTCTGCTATGAGCGAAGAAAATTCTTGGAGAAAAAATATCTTTTGGTTTATTACCGTCAACTCTTTTCCTATTCATAATTCTCAGCTTTTCAAAATAAAGCAAACTCTACTATTGCTGGGAGGACAATGTAAAGTGTGCCTTTAAAAAAATACCTGAGTTCCTATGTTAGCTGAGATGGCTCAGTGAAACAGTTTAGTTGTAACAGGAAAGGACACTGTGATGTGTTGACCTTGTGCTAGACCTGTACTGTGTGGAGCCTCCTTCAGTCCCCAGCAACCCTATGAGAAAGATGGAGTAACTTTCCGGATCGTGCTGTCAGTTAAGAGACTGAGCAGGAATTAAACCCCAGGGCCATGTTATTTCAAAGGCCTTATATCTTCTGTCATTCATTCATTCAAGTCAGCACACCATTTGGCACATTGGATTTAGCTTCCTTCCCAGGAAACTTATCATAGATGGAGAAGCAGGACACTAACTAGGACACCAGTGAGGTCACTAACAAAAGCCAACCTAGGCCCCAGAGAGGTAAATAGATGATAAAGTGACCTAACTAAAAGAAACAACATAGATTGGGTGCTTGGGCTCCTAGCTCAGATCTTGCTGAGGACATAGATGCAGGAGAAAAGTCCTGTAGCGACAGTAGCCGGGTTCCTCTGGGAGGTACAAAGGAGCATGTATGTGTTTGCACGGGTGTGGAGTTGTGGGAGGGTTTTTGTTCAGTGGCTGTGGAGCATTTCCATATAGTGTATCCCAGCAGGCGCAGTAATACAGCCCAGCATCTTCCTCATTAACTTGGTGTATCCTGAGACTCGCTGGCAAATCGCTCTGCCATTTCCTGGCTTCATATCTTTCCTCACTAACACCTTGTTCGTGGACCACATTTTCATTTGAGGAGATATACAGAATTCGTTTTAGAGGCTGGTCTGACTTCTGTCGGTACCAGTGAATATATACGTTATTCCTTAAGCCACTTGTTTTTATTTGGCATTCTAAAAATGCTGTGTTTCCTTGTTTCTTGGTAATGGATGGTACGAGTTGCGTTATTAAAATGTCTGCATTTGTATCTGAAAGGAAAACAAAAACAACAATTAGCAAAATTTTGACATTCCTTAAAATAGTACGCATTTGTTTTCTATCAATAAAATGCTTGAGGTCTGGCGTATACATTTTCTTCCTGAAGAATTCAAAGTCATCGTGGAATTTATCAGCCTGGATTGAATGACCTTTTGGGCTTTCTTCTGCCCATAATGGCTGACTTGATTGTCCATGTTTTCTCTCTCCTTTCTTCACTGAGTGAAATCTCCCAAGGGTAAAGCCACTTACAACTCCACAGGGAGGCCACCAGGATGACCTGTGGCAGGAGCAGCATCCTGCCAGCACTGTCAGGAGAGGTGGTTGAATACTGGGCTGATCGCAGAGCAAATTTGAGGGATGATTTAGTAGAGGAAGTGGTGCTCTGCACACACAGCTATGACTCATAGACAGCAGAGAAAGAGACCCACAGTATTTACCACAAATCATCCTGCAAAACAGGACTACTAACTCAATTTATCAGTACATCTCTCTCATTACTGTGTGATTGTTACCATGAATTGAAAATTAGTGTAAAGAAGCCATTTCTTATTAAAGGACTATAGTCCTTTATTGGTTCAAATCAGAGAGTGGGAGAAGGAGAGAGGAGGAGAGTTCTTACAGTTTTCTTCTTCTAGTAGTTATGATTCTCTGCTTCTCTCTCTCTAACATCCCCTCTCTCTCTCTGACTCTGTCTCTCTCTCTCTCTCTAGTCCTTCCATTGCAGTTTATGTAATTTCTAGTGGTCTATCTTTATGTTAACTAATTCTTTCCTTATATCTCTTAAATCCACTGGTGAGCCTTTCAGGGCATTCTTCATCTGTTACTGTTTTTTATTTCTTGCATTGCCTTTGGTTCTTTAAATCTCTATACTGAAATCATCTGTCTGATTTTGTATACTACTTACCTTTCTATTAGATTAAAGCCTTTAACATAATAAAATAAAAAAATGCAAAAAAAAAGAAGATAATGAGCACATCTTTCCTTCTGCTAGGCCATTATGTGGGGGTTTGAGTTACTAGTCAGGAGTTAGACTGGATTTGAAGTTTGTTGTTGGTAAGTTATCAGAGTTGAAATTTGTTGTTGTCAGAGTTCAGGGACTTAAAAATTCTCTAGTTCTACTTTGTTTTTGGTTTTTTTTTCTGGATTTTAAGACTTTTTAAATGTTATATTAATCACCATACATTACATCATTAGTTTTTGATGTAGTATTCCATGATTCGTTGTTTGCATATAACACCCAGTGCTCCATGCAGTATTTGCCCTCTTTAATACCCATCACAGGGCTAACCCATCCCCTGAACACCCTCGACTCTAGAACCCTCAGTTTGTCTCTCAGAATCCATATGCTCTATGGTTCGTCTCCCCCTCTGATTTCACCCTTTTCATTCTTCCTTTCCTGCTATCTTCTTCTTCTTTTTCTTAATATATAATGTATTATTTGTTTCAGAGGTACAGGTCTGTGATTCAACAGTCTTACACAATTCACAGCGCTCACCATAGCACATACCCTCCCCAATGTCTATCACCCAGTCAACCCATCCCTCCCACCCTCCACCAGTCCAGTAACCCTCAGTTAGTTTCCGGACATTAAGAATTCCTCATATCACTGAGGTCATATGATACATGTCTTTCTCTGATTGACTTATTTCGCTCAGCATAATACCTTCCAGTTCCATCCACGTCGTTGCAAAAGGCAAGATTTCATTCCTGTTGATGGCTGCATAATATTCCATTGTATATATATACCATTTCTTCTTTATCCATTCATCTGTCGATGGACATCTTGGCTCTTTTCATAGTTTGGCTATTGTGG